CCTCAGATCTTTTCTCTAAGCCTGTCTGAAATCCAGCCATGCTAAGAGCTTAGGACTATCAATTGCCCATTTGCTTAGATTACTTTCCAACATACCCTGGTTCATTCTTAGGTACTTAAACATTTGTCTATTTAGTTATGTTATTTTGACTGAAACTTCAGACAAATTTTTTTTTTGGCACCGAGATCCTTGTTCCACAGAATTAGTCAATGCCAGAGATGTCTGATGAAATCTAAAAATGTCAGCACTCAGAAAAATGTTCAAACCTCCTTCTATTGCTGCTATCTCAGACACTATGATGTGTCACAATGCAGATATAATGTAATATAAAACTTCTAAATACAATTTCAGCTTTGAGTCTGCAGTACTCAAACAGATACAGATTTCGTGTGCAATAGATTTACTTTCTTCCTAGATTTTTGTCTTATCTGTTCCCAGAAAATCAGCCATTTATCTAGACAAAGACCCATGATAGATTATTTTCTCCTTCACTTGATTCCATTCTTGCCCCCTAACTTATCAATTTTTATTTTTTTAAATGTCTCAAGTTTCAGTTTTTAAGAAACCAATAATGTGATACTAATATGTTTCAAAAAGAAAATAATAAATTAGCTATCATGGGATGTCATTCTAACTTTTCGAAGCTGATTTTATTACGGGACATTCTAGAGTGAGTCTATGCCCACTTATCAGTGTTGTTTTAAGTGTATCTGTTGGGACCTGAACACTCAGATATTTCAGCTCTCCAGGTGCTTCTCATGAAGTAAAATACCTATGCTTGGAGTTCAAACATTTTTGAAAGACATGTTAAAATTGATTCCTATATTAGTTCATTCTCATACCCCAGACTGGGTAATTTATAAAGGAAAGACATTTAATGAACTCACAGTTCCACACAGCTGGAGAGGCCTCACAATCATGGTGGAAAGCAATGGAAGAGGAAAGGCATATCTTACATGGTGGCAGGCAAGAGAGCTTGTGCAGGGCAACTTCCATTTATAAAACCATCAGATCACATGAGACTTATTCACTACCGTGAGAACAGTATAGGGGAAACAGCCCCCATGATTCAATTATCTCTACCCAGCCCTGCCCTTGACACATGAGGATTATTACAATTCAAGGTGAGATTTGGGTGGGGACACAGACAAACTATATCAACTCCCTACCTTTTCAACGGCTTGAAGTCATTAATGGTGAAGTTGTAACACATTTGGTTCAGGTGACATCACCTTTTAAAAATCCTAATAGAATTAGAACAAATTCATTTTTAGTCTAAACTTTTTTAGAAATAAGACATTTTCAGATTATACTTAAACTTAAGAGGAAATGTACATTCATAACAAATTATTATTATCCTTTTCAAGACCTGAATTATATTCAATGCCTTTTAAAAATGTGTAACCACATCTCTGTGTTTATAAAAGAATAAAATGACTTCAGTTCCACTCCTAGGTCACTCCTATCTGAGTTGGTTTGGAAGGTGGCGGTTATGTGGGACATGGAGCCCTTCTGACTGCTTGCTGCTGACTGTGCTATACCCTCCTCTCAACAGCAGTCAGAAGTTTTACCTGCCTCTCCTACACATGAAACTGATATGAAAATGGCCCTTTGAAATAAGAGATGTGGGAGTAGCCTTAAATTATTCAGGATCTTTATTGTTAATGAATGTGCTTCTGTGAGCCCTTAAAAATAGTGCAGCCTCAAAGATTACTGTTTTGCATACAATTGCTAGACAGCCAGAAGAAGAATCAACTCTGCATGGGAATGCTATATCTGGAAACCTGATTTCACTCAGCTTCTGTCTTCCAGAACTGCCGAGTCATTTTTATGGAGGTTCGACTAGAAGGCTTCTCTGGGGAAACTAAGAAAGGTAAGGACCTGGTGTGGAGGCAGATAGATCATATCTTCAGCTGTTCTGTTGACTGGCCGGGAGGCTGGATGCTTCTAGGCCTACCCGGGAACTTCAGGAATTTCTACACCAAGAAGAGTTCCAAACTGATTTCTCATGCTACAACTTTTCTAAAAAATCGTATTTGAATATATATGGAAACTTGCTAGGTTTTGGGAAGTCTTAGGTTACACTATTGCTATTATTATTATTATTATTATTGAGACAGAGTCTTGCTCTGTCACTCAGGCTGGAGTGCAGTGGTACATCTTGGCTCACTGCAACCTCTGCCTCCCGGCTTCAAGCCTCCCGGCTTCAAGCAATTCTCCTGCCTCAGCCTCCTGAGCAAATGGGATTACAGGCGCCCACCACCACGCCCGGCTAATGTTTGCATTTTTAGTAGAGATGGGGTTTCACCATGTTGGCCAGGCTGGTCTTAAACTCCTAACCTCAGGTGATCTGCCTCCCTCAGCCTCCCAAAGTACTGGGATTACAGGTGTGAGAGCCACTGTTCCTGGCCGCTGTTATATTTTTAAAGAATGAAAGTAATCAGATTTTTCTTTAATTTTGCTTTTTGTAAAATGTTATTTATCTGCCCAAATAACTTGTGCTCTAATCCATTCATTCATTAGAAGGGGGGTAAAGTATTATTTAAATTTAATTATCGTATAACTTCTAAAAACAGTTTTAAACTACCCATGATAACACAGGTAGTTATGTACCCATGTTACATCTTTTTCTGAGAACTAATAAGCCTTTTCTTATACCATAACCAATTCTTTTTGTTGAAAATGAATATATATATATAATATATATTAGACACACACAGAGACTTCAAAAATTCATGGAAAAAAGGAATTAAAAGATAAAAATAAAAACAAATGTATTTCTCAGCATAAGCCTTAGCAAGTTCAAGACACTTTTGTAAGTGATAATACCAGCCATTTAGTCCATCCTTAAAGAATCGAGGGTACTGAGAATTTAACCATGTCAGTGCAGTCCTTTTGACATTGTTAACTGAAGAAAACTAGGTGCCCTTTAAAGATTTTTTAAGATTAGGAAACAAAAAGAAGAGAGAAGGAGCCAAATCAGAATTGTAAGGTGGATCCCTAATGATTTCTCTTCAAATCACTTGCAAAATTGTCCTTATGTGATGAGAAGAATAAGCAGAAGCAGTGTCATGGAGGACTTGCTGGTGATGCTGTCCTGGGTGTTTTTCTGCTAAAGATTTGGCTAACTTTCTCAAAACGCTCTCATAATAAGCAGATGTTATTATTCTTTTGGCCCTTCAACAAGCAAAATACCTGGAACATCCCAAAAACTGTTGCCAGAACCTTTTTTCTTGATAGGTCTGCTTTTGCTTTGACTGGACCACTTCCATTTCTTGGTAGCCATTGCTTTGATTGTACTATGTCTTCAGGATTATACTGGCAAAGCCATGTTTCATCTCTTGTTACAATTCTTCAAAGAAAGACTCCAGAATCTTGGTCCCACATGTTTAAAATTTCCACTGACTCTGCTTTTGTCTGCAGCTGATCTATGTGCAATGGTTTTGGCACCCTTCTAGTAGAAAGCTAGTGCAACTTCAATTTTTCAGTTAGAATTGTGTAAGCTCAATCAGTTAAGCTATCTATGGAGTTGGCTATTGTTTCTTCTGTTGTTTGTCCTCTTAAATTACAGCATTCACTTTTCTTTAAAGAAAAACTTCATTCTTTTCTTGCAAATTGATGTGGATGGTCTGCTGCTGTGGGTTTCATCTTCCACATCATCTCATCCCTTCTCAAAATGAGTTATCTCTCGGTGAACTACTGATTTCTTTTGTCTTTTTTTTTTTTTAAATTTAATTTTATTTTAAGTACTGGGATACATGTGTAGGGTGTGCAGGTTTGGTACACAGGTAAATGTGTGCCATGGTGATTTGCTGCACCTATCGGCCCAACACTTGGGTATTAAGCCCTATATGCATTAGCTATTTATCCTGATGCTCTCCCTCTTCCTGTACCTCCAACAGGCCCCAGTGTGTGTTGTTCCCCTCCCTGTGTCCATGTGTTCTCATTGTTCAGCTCCCACTTATAAGTGAAAACATGCAGTCTTTGGTTTTCTGTTCCTGTATTAGTATGCTGAGGATAATGGCTTCCAGCTCCACCCATGTCCCTGCAAAGGACATGATCTTGTTCCTTTATATGGCTGCATAGTATTCCATGGTGTAAACTACTGATTTATTTGGGGCATTGTCCCCATACGGCATTGTCCCCATAAACTTTTTGTAAAGCATCAATTATTTCACTATTTTACCACCCAAGCTTCACCATATATTTGACGTTTGTTCTTGCTTCCATTTTAGAATTCATGTTGCTCTAAGAGCTACTTTCAAACTGGTAACCTTATCCTTCTTAGTGCTTCAGACTAAATCCTGTTCAGACATGCTTCAACATGATAGTGTGAGTTTATTTTGGTACAAAAAAAATTTTGAAATCCTTGCCTAGTTTTTTCAAAATACACATTTTCCACAAATCTTTCGTGTGTGTGTTGTTTGAACAATAGTTGCAACATGAAACAATTAACAAAGGTAGCTAATTGACCACTCTTTTAAAAATTATTAACAGAATCCTATGTATACATATACATAATGTATGTATATATGCATATATGTGACAAATTGATAGCTTTTGTTAGAAATTTAATATGTAGAATTATTTAGCATAGTGTTATTAGAAATTTAAGAATTGAGAGTTTCAAATTTTGTTCTTAAAGTTCAAGTAAATTGATATCATCTTAAAGTAAGAATACAGTCCACTCTTAAAATTATAATGCCTCAAAGGCTCTAAGTCATCATGGTATTAGTTTCAGGAGCTGTTCTCAGTTTTCTGAGAAGCGTGGCCAGTATCGAGAGCCTCTACTTCTATGTTTCTCCTTGTTTTTTCCTCCCAAGATATTTCAGTCTCCTTGAACACCTTGCAGTCACTTTCCACAGGTAAAATGATTTGTTTAGTTGCCTTTTTGTTCCCCTGGCCTCATTCCTCTGCTGCAAAACTTTCTGCTTAAAATACTGGTTCATTTCTAGTTACAGGGACCCACCTGCCATCTGTCATTCCAGGAAATTTGTGAAATGGATCCAGATAAACAAGGTGAGTATTATTGTCAAGTTTATGGGCATAGTTTGTAAACAGAAAAATTAGGCACAGATGTTATATTTTCAGACCTCTGATTTGAAGAAGAGTAAACATTTGGCAAATTTCTGGCTGAAAAGAAACTGTTATTTGATTAAAGTGGTTTTCTCTTTCTTCTAAACAGAAATCCACCATGTACTGAAGAATATTTGGTCTATTGTCTCGAAAGCACCAAAAATAATCTAACAAAAGACTTGATGTCAACATAATTACATTTGAATTGCTGTTCAAATACACACAAACTATTGCCTTAGTTTTATGTATATTCATAGTTTACTATTAAAATGAACTTATCATATATATTTTAATGTCATGGGTAAGTTCACAGTACTGTGTGGTTCAAGTTGGGAGAAAGGCCTCACGGTTGTCACTATATGAAAATTTTATAAGTGGATATGGAGAAACTAGTTCCCCTTTCTTCTAACTTCGCTGAACGCCAAGAACTGATCTGTGGCATTTCTATTGCTAGATCTATTTGCAGCCTTACTCCCCTAACCAAAATCTACATTGTTATCTTACTTGTTTTATATGAAATTCTGTATGATCCCTAGTTGTTTATCTAAAACAACATTATAAATAATTCCAATACCTTTGGGTTTTCCAAATTTGGGCTCTCATATTAATACGCTTTACACAAAGCAATAGGTAATCCATTCAACTCTCAATTTTCTTTTTCTAAGGCAGTGTGTCTCAAAGTTAGCATGCATCAGAATCACCTGAAAGGTTTGTTAATATGCTGCAAAGTTTGTGATTCTGTGAGTCTGGGGGAAGAGTCCAGGAATGTGCATTTCTAACAGTTTCCCAGATGACCTGATGCTGCTGACTTGGGACCACACTCTGAGGACCACTGGTCTAAAGCATGTATTTTGGATCATCAAAGTAGATGATGGACATTTGAAAGAATTGTATTACATCCACCTTAGTATCTGTGGAAAATAAATATACTGATGGAGCTAAGCAAAAACAAGAATCCCGGTCAAAAGATATTTTCCAATCATATTGCTTCCATGAACAAGAAATGTAGCTTGTGTTACTATTTCTTTAAGCATCTAAAACTACTTTGTTCATAGCTTTGGGCATGATACATTTGGTAATTTCTTCCTTTCTTTAGTTTGTTTTTTTTGTTTTTGCTTTTTGCATTATCAAAAAAAAATGTAAGTTAGCCTTTAGGAAGTGGGTCTGGTGTTGGCTTACCTGGCCTCCTCATTCATTTTCCATGTTGCACTGTATCACAGCTTGCTGTGTTATGCTGCATAACTTCATCAGATGATGCTGCAAAGCATAACTTGACAGGAGAGTGATGGCCAGATGGTAGAGCAGCTACAGAGTCGCTCCTCCACCGAGAGCAGCATCTGGGAACTTGCAGAGCCCCTTGTCTGCTGATTCTCTGTATCTGCTTGGTGCATCTGAGAGGAACCAGGGCATAAACACTGGCCAGTTTCCAGAGGAAAGAAATGTTGGGTATTACACTGTTGTAAATTACTTCCACCCTATTATGCCTACTCTCAATTTGTTTTTTTTCTGCAGACATAGGACAGAGGAGTTTCTGACATCTCCCATTCTCTAACATTGTTGTCTTATTTGAAAACTAAGCATTTTTAAAGCCTAAGGAAATGGTGAATAACAAAAGATTTAGAGCAAAAAAAATTTTTTTTTTTTTTTTTTAAATATGTTTGCACCTCTTGAAAAAGAAAGGAAAACATGTAGAGGGATTTTAAACCACCTCTCTTGTTTGGGCGACAATGTTTAGGCACAGCCCGCTTCACCTGAGGTAGGGGTCTTTAATTCATGATCATATGCTGACTGTTGGATCAATATACGTTCAGAGAGAGGCCTGTGGCATGCTCTCACTACTTTGGGACGGCTCTGGCCTGGTTCAGCACTGTAATCCCCTTTGTGGCTCCGCACAGCGCCTGGCACTCAGTATCTTACGTGTAACAGCCAGGACTTTACCCCACAACACTCAAGGGCAAGACACATCATTTCCTAAATCAAAATCAAGTCACTGTACCTTGATATGAAATTTAGGCTGAGTTAAGTTTGGGAGGGAACTATCCCTGGGAGACAAACAGAAAGCTCTAAGGCTGCTACCTTGAACCTTGGTCAAGGCCCTGATTGAAGTCCACTGTGACCACCACTTGTGATGCTCTCTGCCTTTGGCTTTGTATTCCACTTGAAGACATGGGACTCCATATCAAGACTGGACACAGAAGTCCTCGTCACGCCTGTGGCTGGCCTCCCTGGCTACACCATGCAGCCATCCCTCCACTCAGGGGTCTGCTAGGAAGGGCAGCCCTGGAGACACCTCCTAAACCCAATCTTAGTCAGACATTTCCCAACTTCTTGTCTAGGCATCAGGCTCTCTTCCACCTCCAGGAAAATTCCAGATTAATTCTTTCATGGGCCTGTCCATCTTTTCATATGAAGGCCTGAGTGGAGGTGACTTTAAGAGTGGCCCTTATGTGGTGGCTCATGCCTGTAATCCCAGCACTTTGGGAGGCGGAGGCCGGCAGATCACGAGATCAGGAGATTGAGACCATCCTGGCGAACACGGTGAAACCCCATCTCTACTAAAAATACAAAAAAAAAAAAAAAAAAAAAATTAGCTGGGCGTGGCAGTGTACACCTGTAGTCCCAACTACTCAGGAGGCTGAGGCAGGAGAATGGCATGAACCCAGGAGGCGGAGCTTGCAGCAAGCTGAGATCGTGCCACTGCACTCCAGCCTGGGCGACAAAGAGAGACTCCATCTCAAAAAAAAAAAAAGAAAGAAAAAGAGTGGCCCTTAAACACAGAGACATTGTTAGATCTCCCAGAGGAGTGAAAACAGCTTAGACTTACAGGATGAACACAGAAACATTGCCTTTCCATTCTTTAAATTCTCCCCTTGCTGCAAGAACAAGACAAAAATGAATGTCACCACAAATTACCTTGCCACATATGTTTGAATCAAAGAAATACACCAAGCAGTTCCTTGTTTCATTTTTGCTCAGGGCCTGTTCCAAGGCTGGAGACCCACTGTGTCTGTCTTCTGTCTTACTCTCTTTCTTTGCCTGTCTGTCTGTCTCTCTCTCTCTCTCTGTCTCTCTCTCTCTTTCGGTTTATTTCTAGGCTGTGTTTCCAGTCACAAAACTCCCCAGCACACCCTGCTAACACCTTATTGCCTGAGTTTTATGTTAATCAGCTGACATTACACTTGAAAGTAGTTTCATTTTCCTCAGGACTTCTTCCTCTGGGCATCATAATTATACAAGTAAGTCTTGGCCTCAGAGCTTGCTTGTGTGTGAAATCCTTGCCTCAGAATGAGCGTTTCTGGGTGTAAACTCTAATTGGAATTGGTTATCACCGGAAATACTGGAGATGCACAGCTGCTTGGCAGTTCTTTCCAAAGTTTTTGACTGATTTCCTCTTTCACCCTTCACTATAACCGTGCAAATCTTCACTATTCCTCAAGTTTTCTACCCCACCACCTCCTCCTAACTCTTAAGTGTGTGAACATGCCCCCAACTTTACAAAGAAAACAGAAGCTCTCAGACATGGCCATTTCCCCAGCCCATCATCTCCTTTTATAAGTCCTTTCAGGGAATGAGAGATGGCTTCTTACCAAAGCTAATTCCTTCACCTGTGCGTTTTCCGCCCTCTCTCTACTGCAGCGATGGGAGCAGTTAGCAATACTTCAGCGATTGTGGCATTAAACTTACCTCAAAGAGGCTGTTACCTTATAAAGTTAATAACCCAATCAAGAGATCTACTGTGCAGCATGGTGACTATAGTTAATAACAATGTATTATATTGTTGAAAATTGCTAAGAGAATAGATTTTAAATAGTCTTACCACAAAAAATAAATATGTGACATAATATATATGTTAATTAGCTTGATGTAGCCATTCCACAAGATATACATATTTTGAAACATGCTGTGCATGATTAATATATACAATATTTATTTGTTAATTAAAACAAATGAAAGTAAATTAAATAACCAAAGGAAGGACTAGCTTTCCTGGGCTGGGACACTGTCACCAGGAAGCAATTTTTCTCCATCTCTAAGTTCATCTCTGCTCGCCCTTGTGTGTTGATTTCATTCTCAATGAAAATGAGAAAACAAGGCAAGCTGTGCTACAGTGCAACATGGAAAATGAACGAGGAGCCCAGGTAAGCCAACACCAGACCCACTTCCTAAAGGCTAACTTTCACATTTTTACACAACCTGACAAGAGAGTGATTGCTGCTCCAATCTACAATTCCAAATTCCAGTCCAGAAAAAAAAAAAAAGTCTGCTTCCCTGGTAACTGGAACCAAGAGTCCTTGAACCCAGATTCATTGGAACATTCCTCGCCTGACTTTGGTGTGTACCCACCTCTGGGGAGTGCGATGATGCTCTCACCGATGGGCTGGACCTGGGCCACGTGCCCCTGTGGAAGTGGGAGAGTTGCAGTTGACACTACTGGAATTTCATGGACTCAGATTAGGGGAGGTGGTTCACCTGGAGAAAGAAAAATGGATGCTGGGTGACTAGGGGAACACGTGCCCTCTGAGAAGGACTTTGCTACGTCGTATACTACCCGGATTCCCTACTTCCTGAGTCCTCAACCCCACTCTATCTCTCCTGGCTCCTCCTCCCTGACCTATACGTACATTCTGGAATTTCTCCTGCCTTTGAAAACCAATTTCGATTTGATGTGTTGTTCTAGCTGTGGCTCTCTTGTCTTCCCTTCACATTATAAGATCTTGAAAAAGTTGTCTGGTTGTATGTTTTCTCCTCACCTTACACTCAGTGCTCAATCCTCTGCAATTGGATTTTGACCCCCATGACTCCACTGAAACCGCTGTCACAAAGACCTTCAATAATCAAACTAGTCATAAAAAGCAGAAGCAATAAATTCCCTTTATACCAGTAAGTTTCAAACTTACTGGTATACCAGTAGTTTTCAAACTTTCGTTTGCATCAGATTTACCCCCAGGGCCTGCTAAGACTCAGGTTGTCCCCTAGATTCTCACCCCTAGATTCTGGTGTCAGAGACTTCTTAGATTTTTGTTAGAAATTGTTTTTCTCCCAAGTTCCCAGGCGATGCTGCTGCTGCTGCTGCTGCTGCTGGTCCAGGAACTGTACTTTAAGGTCCACTGGTTTATACCACAATAATCAGTTAGAACAGGCCATTTTAACTGCCTAAAACAAACTAAGCTATTAATGTGTATGATCTTATATAGCTTTATTGAATAACATTAAAGATAATATGACTAAATAGGGAGATCTCTATAGTTATTTTTTCTAGATATGAAGACTGATCATTTCAGTCAAGCAACAGAAAGCTCTGTTGTAATGTTGTTATCTCTTAAATTAAATAACAATCAAATTTGGAGCATTGGAAAAAATTTAAAATTGTGGGTCCTTAAGAAAGGTAACAGAAACAATTTAGGAAGTATATTGCCTATATTTTCTTGTTTAAAATGTGCAAATACCCTTTGAGGAATGTACTGTAATTCCCATTCATCTGATGAAGAAACTGAAGATCAAAAGTAACTCATTTTAAGAAAAACGAAGGAACAGAACTAAGTATAGCTGGCTCCAGAGCTCTCTCCCCTCCTTTACACTGTGAAATGGGCAAACACACACTCAGTGCCTGGAAGGGCTCAGGAATGCTCGCTCTTGTTGTACTGCTATTGGTGGCGGTAACTCTCAAACGAAGGTATATTAATAATTCTTTTCTTATTATAAAAATAGCATATACTTTTTATAGAAAATTTAGGTAATACTGAGTAGAGAGAAAATAACCATGAACACTAACAATTCAAGCACTCAGAGATGTCCACTGTTAACAGTTTGGTGGATGGTACTAGAAGTTAAGCTCCACAAAGATGGCCATCTTTATCTGTCTAGTTGAATGCTCTATTTCAAGGGCCTAGAATCATGCCAGGGCCATATAGTAAGGGCTCAATAAATATTGGCTAAATGCATGAGTAGATGGATAGCTTTGGGGTCTTTTTCATTTATGCATAAATACATGTGTCCACGTATAACTAGAATCTATTTGCAAACTTGAATTTATATTTTACATGTAGTTTTTTTATCCTGTTTGTTTCAAAGGCCATTGACTTTTTATATAAAAAGTGGACAGATTGATGGAATATTCCCCACTTTTTGGTGGACTGAGAAGGTAAACTAGGTTCACCCATAGCCCTAGAATAATGTAAGTCTATTATTATTTGTTTACAGAAAGAAAAAAGAGCTCTAAACCTTAATTTCCTCACCTGCAAAATAAAGTAAGCTTATCTGATCTCTAGGATTTCCTTCCAGGATGTGGGATTTATATAATGAGACAGTACTTTATTCATAATATTTTATGTTTTCTTTACAGATGCTCTTAATAGTATTGAGAATTCCATTTACAGAACAGCCTTCAAATTACGATCAGTGCAAACTCTGTGCCAGTGTAAGTATAGGCTCTCCTGAAATATTTGAAATAATCTGAGCTTGATATGTGATGTAAAATTCATAGAGAAAACAAACACTTCCCCCATGCCATGGACTGCTGGATTCCGGAAGTCTGGATTTGTGCATTCAGCCCATTCGCAACAGAGAAGGTGGAGGGATGGGAAAACATCGCGTGCTTGCAACCCATGTGTAGTTTTGCTGATGAGCGATAGAAAATGAATGTGGATGAGGATTTTTAAAATATTTTCTCCACTTGGCTTCTTCTAGAAAATGTTTTTGGTTTCCTTTTCAGGATACCAATATGGACACAAAATAAAATTACAAAAAAAAGGTAGTTTCAAATCTGTACTTTTAGATTTAAGCATAAAAATGTAAAATTCCATCTACCACATAAGATTTGCGTTTTCAGGTTGTACCTGTAATCTGTATATGAACATGCAAAAGTAGGTACAAATGAATAAATAACCCATGGACCGTGAATTTTAAAATTATCTCGAGAATTCCCTGAGAACTGTCCCTTTTGCATTAAATTTATATCTGTTTGAATGTATGGTTTTCTTTTCTTTTCTCATACTGTTATCTAGGCAAAATAAGGTAAAATGTAGTAAAAACATGTATCCTGTGAAAATTGTCCAAGGTGGAAAATAAACTGGGTCCAAGCTATGAAAAATACCAGGCATTCAGCCTATCTAAAGTTATTGATTTCTCACTGCATGAAAGAAAAATCACTTCATGTAAAATGTTTTCTGAAATTTATCATATCAGACCTAAGTTACGTTATATATGTGACATTTCTACTGAAGGCTGACATTTTAAAATATTTTTCCTCCTGCCTAAAACGTTACATAGGGCAGTGGTTTTCAAATTGGGCTTCACAAAGTACATGTGAATGTGGCGTGGGGCACAAAAGAGTTAGCCAGGTGGGAAGAGGAGTTGCAAGCAAGGTGGGAAGATCTGGAGACCACATCCTCAACAGAAACAGCTCCATCCTTCTCTATTTTCTATACTGTGTTTCCTTGTGTGTGTGTATCTGTGTGTGTGTGTAAGTTGGGGGGGTCTCACTCTGTCACCCAGGCTGGAGTGCAGTGGCGAGATCTCAGTTCACTGCAACCTCTGCCTTCCAGGCTCAAGCCATCCTCCCACCTCAACTTCCCAAGTAGCTGGGACCACAGGAGTGCGCTACCACACCCTGCTAATTTTTTGTATTTTTAGTAGTCATCTGTCTCTGGTCTTGAACTCCTGAGCTCAACTGATCTGCCCATGTTGGCCTCCCAAAGTGCTGGAATTATAGACATCAGCTACCGTGCCTGGCCTCATACCATGTTTCTGTATCAGGTTCCTTTGAAGAAGAAATTTTTGGTTTTAAAAACAGTTTTATGTAGATTACTGCTCTAGATAAAGAAACTCATAACTATTATTTATTATTCCAGGAACCAATAAAAGGCTAAAAATTTACCCCCAATTATGCTATTTTCCTGGAGAATTTCTCTCTCAGAGAAAGTTAGCAGCAATTGTTCACGTGTCCCCATCATGAATGCCTGAGTATGTACCACAGTGTAATTTGAGGATGCACAGTTTTCAACATTTTGTTATCTCTGGCATCAGAAACAGTGAATATAAATAATACTCATGGGAAATATTAACAATACACAAAATCAGTGGTTGAAAAATGTTACCTAGTAAAAAGATATCCAAACAAAAATTTAAAAACAGAAAATCCCAAACACCAAGATAAAGCATAACATGAGCTCCAAATAGGAAGATCTGGAACACATCGCTGTATAAATCTTGTGGTGAGATTAATGGACACCACTATTATCTGGTTTGGTGTAATATAGAACTCTCAGCAGGAGATGAAATCGGCCTGTATTCAGAATGCCTGGCTCAGGTGACAGGTTTTAATGATAAAAGAGTTTACAGCCTTCAGCACCTGCAGCCGAGTTTTTATTTAAGTCACATTCTGAAACTTGCTCCTCTGTTCCTTAGACTCTCCCCTTAAAAGCAATATCAGAGAACAAATAAAAATTTTTATTATACTTGCTAGATTTCTTATCTGAGGTTGATTTACGAAGTAGAGAGAAACCCAGGGTTTTATGGTTTCACAGGCTGAAGCGTTTTAAATGCCAGGAGCTCTTGGCGCTGTTGACATCCCCACCTCTCAGATGGCGCAAGTGGCTGTTTATTAATTTTATCTGTCATCCTCTCTCTGCAAGAAGCTATGGGGTTAGCTCTATTACATTCTTGTTTCTATTCATTGCCTTGTAAAAATTTTAGGAGAAGGTGGTTAAAAAATATTCAGTGTAAGAAATAAACCATTATTTTTGGTAAGCTGCTCTAGTTTTATTAAGTGCCTTCTCTAGATAATAATACTGATAGAACCAAGATTGTTAAAAGTGATATTACTGAGTTGCGGAATTCTCAGACTCTTTAGCCTAAAGATTTTTATAGAAGAGTAACTGCTCTTTTATAAAGATCACTGTTTTTTATTTAACTATGGCAATTGCTTTTTAACACACCATATTGCTTCTGAAGCTGGGCTGCAGACAAGAAAAACTATATTTGAACAGGAAAGGTAAATTTATTCAATCCACTTAATGAAGAGTATAAAAATGTTTTCCCCAACTTTTCATCACAGTGTCATAACTTTCTTGGAAAGCGTATTTTTCGTTTCTCACTTCCCTTTTTAACTTCTTTCTATAAAACAACATCCTTGAAACCGTACTGTAATAATGTTACAACTATGCTTTACTAAAATCTTTTTTTAGCACTTTTCCAAAATCAAATCAATTGGTAGAATAGTAACGCCTGAATTATGCACAAGGAATATATGTCCAAATAGTAGTCGTATTTCATTCCCCTTAAAAGAAAATAACGACCATAAAAAGTTCTTAATTATAAAACACTAAATGACATTTACTTCATTTGAAGCCTTTTGTCCCCATCAGAAAATAAGGCTCAATTCTTCATTTGCTTCCTACAGTGGACTTGATTGACAGCTCCCTGATTCAGCAGGTCCTACTGCGTCCAAGTTTCTGGGAAGCTCGCAAGCGCTCCCTTTCTGTGCAGCAGCTTTCTCAGGCACTCCAAGAGCTGTTTCAGAAGGCCAGGGAGGAAAACCCAGGGCAGGTGCATCCCAGAGCTCCCGAACTCACTCTGAGCCTTCTCACGACAATGTGCAACAGGTAAGGGTGTGGACGTCGCGCTGTGACCTCAAAGGCAATGTTTAGCTGCCAGTGGTCATTTACCATTTGGTGCTGGCTGATATTTGCTTGAGGTTTGGTATATAAGAAGCCTTCTTTGTTTTTCACTAATTTATTTCTCAGGAGTAGAACAAAGGAGTAAATGCCCATCGGCTTTATGAATATAAATGACTCATGGATAGCAACAAGAGGGGGAGAATTCCACATTATTCTTTCCTTCATACAAATTCATTCCTACTCTAGAGAAGCATACACACCTTTTGCTAGAGCGTTTACACTTCTATACATACATGTGAGAAGCGACACTTGATTCTTGTTACTGCTAGCTTCTTTGCTCATTTCTTTGTAAACTATTATCAATTTTTTATTTAGCTAGAATAAGGATGAAAATACTGCGCATGGATGAGTAACTTATAAACCAGTGTAGACCATGTCAAAGGGCTGATTACATATACTCTGAAGTCAATAGTTCTGCTAGTGTGTGGTAGGGGTGAGTGTGTTTTGTGAGTGTAAGGTTTCAATTCCTCTGCCCCCTCCTCAATTTGGTTTACCTTATGTATCCTTGACTCAGTAGACTTCATCCTTTAGAATAAACTTTTCAAAAATCATAGTGAATTCAAAACATTTGGAAAATAGAGGAAAAAAGTAAAGAAGAAGAAATACATTATTACCCATCAGCCTGCCTCCCAGAAGCAAGCACCTTTTTAACCACTGGGCAAATTCCTTACGGTTATTTCCTTTTCTAGCTTTTTTTTTTTTTTTTAATTTTTTTAACTGCCAAAACAATATACATACACATTCTCAAGTTATTTTTTCATTTCAGCTTCCTTAAACATTAAGCTTTTGACTGTCATTTCTATTATCTGTGTGTGTCTCTAACAATTCCCCTGCCTTTGATTAATTGTTTAGTAGGTTTGTAAACTAGATAGCAAATGGGCAAGGATGATTAGGCTCTGAGTGAGGGCCTGTGAACTAGATTTTTTTTTTTTTTTTTTTTGCATAAATATTTGCTCCTTTGCCTGCCTTTTGGTCCTTCCTTGTCTCTGTTGCTTGGTTTCCAGGCAACTGAGGCCTGAGGAAGTGATACTACCTGCTCCATGAAGACAGGGTTTATCCCTGCATCCCTGGTGCCTGGTACGGTGCTTAGCACAGAGGAGGCATCCAATACATATTTTGGAGTGAACGCAGGAACAAATAAATGACTGGCGAAATACGTTAATTCCATGCTCTGTTCTGCTAAATTCTAGGTATAGGATAAGAGGCCACAAAAAGCTAGAACTTAGAGCACCATGTCAAAAATGCCTATTAATAGTTATAGTTTTTATCATCCATGACACCAAAGGTAACCCTGGCCCCCCATTCTTGTCTCTGTTTTGTCACCGTGCAGCACAGGAACAGGTTTTCTCCAGCTTATGCCTGCGGCCGCTGCCCTAATAACCCTCTCAGGAGACAGCCCTCTTACAAAATACCGAGGTAACATGCGGAGGACGGGTGTCCTAAAGTGCAGTGAACCCCAAATCCCCAACCTGGTATTCTGTATCCCCACCACAAGGCCTTCTTCTTCAGCATGTACTCAGCATGACTTGTGTGTTTATTGAAGAAAAATATTTACCATTTGAGGAATTTGGAATTTTTCAAAATTTACACTTCCTAATTACTTAGTTGTTCTTGATATTTATTTCTTTAGGGATTACCTAGACACCCGTAATCATTGTTGGTTTGAAGCCTGGGAGGATTCTCACATTTCTGTTTACCAACCTCATGATCTTCATCCTAGATTCACTGAATGATCAAGAGGTTGAAATGTGAATGGATTTCCATTAGTTATCAAATTATGGCTATTACAAAATCGATAGTGACTGAGCACAGTGGCTCGTGCCTGTAATCCCAGCACTTTGGGAAGTCGAGGCAGGCGATCACCCGAGGTTGGGAGTTCGAGACCAGCCTGACCAACATGGAGAAACCCTGTCTCTACTAAAAATACAAAAAATTAGCCGGGCGTGGTGGCACACGCCTGTAATCCCAGCTACTCTGGAGGCTGAGGCAAGAGAATCACTTGAACCCGGGAGGCGGAGGTTGCGGTGAGCTGAGATCGTGCCATTGCACTCTAACCTAGGCAACAGGATTGAAACTCCGTCTCAAAAACAAAACACACACACACACACACACACACACACACAGTTTTGGAGGCCTTCAAAATAGTGAGCCAATAATCAAGAACATAACTTTCCCTTCTCTTTCCTTTCATAGCCACAAAGAGACTGCTACTTCAAAGCAAGTACTCTTCAAAGATACATTGCAAGTATTCAATTTAAAGATTTTTCCTCCTACATGTCTAGCTCTTTTTCAGCTCTACGCGGAAAATAGCAGGGGAGGTTATGATTCTGGGCCACGCATGACGCGAAGGGTTTTGAGAAAACTACTAACAGATCTACAGCAGGTAAATCCCTAATACTTAAGAACTGCACATTTGTTTCAGTTAACTAGCCACACTTATTATTAAAGAATCTGATGTCTCCAGTGTCAAGTCTATCTTTATATATATCTCCATGCAAGCTCTCTCCTCCATAGCCATTGCTGTTACTTGAGTATAACTTAACTTATACTCATAAGGTTATGAGTAGAAGGTTATGAATTATACTCATACTCATGAGGCTAAAGCTAATGGGGTCTATAGATAAGAATTATTTGCATTGCTGTAAGTTTGCTACAAGTTAACTTTACTCTCTATAGAGTTGTAAAAGAGCCTCGCAAAGACAGTGATGTATCTCTCTATAGGTACAGAGAATCACCACTGAAAACATATCCAATAGTCTCTTTTGCTTATTCCAAAGTGTTTAATTTTTCCTTACGCTCCTATACCTTTTTCACTCCTACGTATTAAAACCTGTGCCTGACATGCACTAAATTCTCCATGCCCGACTTCTGCATTTCTATCTACCCACAAGGCCATTGCCTATCCTTTCACCTGACAGACACTACTTGTCTTTCAATATCACTCAATTATTTGTCACCTCCCTACTCAAAGCTTCTTTGACTTCCTATGCATAATTTTGTTGCAGCACTTGTCAAATTGTGGTAGATGCTTCCCCACTGGACTACTTCTTCATTTTTATATCTCCAGTGCCTTGAACAGTGCCTGATACTAAAAGACATCCAAAAAATGCTTAAAGAATGCGTAGATGGAGTGCCACGTCAAGTACTCAAAATTGTTTCCATCATTTCTTGTGCTTTAGGAATGTGTAAATTTGATTTGGTTTTTATTCTTACTAGGCAAGGGAATTTAACCTCCTCAAAGATGTTTTTTAAATGTTGAAATGAAGTAAATTGGTGTAACCAAGCAAGAACTTCTGCAAAAGGATTAAACAGGCTCTGGATTGTCTTGCATGTAGGTGCTGTTGTCCTGCTGTACCTTTCCCTTGTTTTGAAGGATATCTCCATTCTTCCAGCTCCTACAAAATCCCCACACTGGATGTTTTGGACTGTAACAACTTAGGAACTTTCTGTCATTTTTTTCCTCGGTAGGGACCAAGGATTCTGAACTGAGGATAGCCATGATAGGAGCAGGGAGGGATAAGGAGAAAGATAATAAAAATCTCTAGAACAGGGAGTATGGATTGGAAAAACCTATTCAAAATTATCTTTGCTTTGGTTTGGTTTTAATATTAAAATTTTGTGTTCATGATGATCACAATAATTAATATTTAACTTAAATTCCAAACATCATTTAAGATATTTATTTCTTAAATGGAGCAATGTTTTTTTTTTTTAATTTGTAAGGTTAGAATATCAGGCATAGATACTTCCAAGCTGTCCTGGTAGTTGCAGCAGTCACATAGATCCCACCACCAAATGTTCTGCTGATTCTAAGGCATTTCTCAGGGAGCCATCATAAGTTGCAGGCTCACTTCCACCCATCCCATATCACAAGACTTGAGTTGATGGTGGCCTGATTTATGCAATCAGACTGGTAAGACTAGATAGGTGCTTAGAAGCGGATGTGATGAAAGGGGATGGACTGAGGGACATTTTCCTTCTAGAGAATTCTTTGTGCTCGCCTGACTACTTGGTCCAACAGGCTCTAAAAATCTGCCCTTGTCTCACGCTCAATTGAGGTCAACGAGCTGCTGAACTAGAAGCTCCCGCAGCACTCCACCCCTACCCACACCCCAGGCATTAGTATGCTCTTGAAAAGGTCTTAGGAAGGGAGAGAGTTGCACAGAAATTATCATCCCATTGACTGCTATTACAGACTCAGAAATGGATTCCCAGAGAAAATTCCAGGCCCCACCACATGATTCAAATCCTCCCCTAAGCATCGTAATTATCACTTCAAGTAGTGTCTGCCTATGCCGGTGTGCCATCTAGCCAGGTTTAATTCTTCCTAGAGCACCTGCAAGAAATTAGCCACTTGGGCCATTCATCCACAAAATCTTTATGCACATCTTTATAGGCAAAAATGTAGGTTGAAAACCCACTACAGAAGTGAATTTTCTTTGTACTTGTGTTAGAATCACAGAGCTGGTGAGAGTCATCCTATGTTATCCACCCACCTTATTTTACAAATGAAGTAAAACTCCTTTCCCAGAGCTCAAGGACATCAGAGGAGGGTGAATGTTGAATCAGCAACACAGTCTAAATAAGTGTTTCGGTTAGTTCATCAGCACTCCAAGCCGAAAGATGGGTAATGAGTTATGCTTTCAGACAAAGGCTAAATAACACAGGGAGTAGTTACTTACATTCAACTGGCGACAGGATTATTATCAATTTAAAGTGCAAGCCATCTTGTCACTATTACGCAAATGTTTGTTGACTTCTGCCTGGCTAATTGTCAGCAAAGAGGTTCTGAGTGCCACTTTCCTGATTAGAAGAACGTTTATTCGAGTTGATGGACTCAGCAGGAGGGTCTCTGAGATTACTTCTGAGCTTGCGGGCAATGCCTGCTGACAGCCTGTGCTGTAGAAGACATCAGATGTGAAATTAGGACCCGTGACCAAATGGGAATAAATGGAGGTGACAGGTACATGTATCTGTGCATATAGATGATGTCAGAGCCAAGTCCCTGGCCATCTTGGCAGTCACAAAAGGTTCTTAGTGCCTTAATTGAACGCCTTATGGTGACTGTGGCTGAAAGGTGGAAACCACTGAGTGTGGTGGCACAGATTGAGCCGTTGAAATATATGTAAGGTCGGGCTGTGACAAAGCTTCATGGAAACTCCTCAAGAAAGAGTAAGAGTCCTGGAGTGAGACCCCAATTCTGCTGCTAACTTGCTTTTTTGACCTTCAGCAGAATATCAAATCTCAATTACTCTTTGCTTTATTTCTTGAAAACGATTTAATTGATAATCAGAAACTGTATATATTCAAGGTGTACAACATGATGTTTTGAGATAGATATACATTGTATAATGATTATCACAATCAAATTAATTAACCCATCTGTCACCACCATCATTACCATCTTGTGGGGGTGGGTTGTTTGAGGACACTTCAAACCTACTCTTGCATCAATTTTCTTTTTTTTTTTTCTTTTTTTTTTTTTTTTGAGGTAGAGTCTCACTCTGTCACCCAGGCTGGAGTGTAGTGGTGTGATCTCGGCTCACTGCAACCTCTGCCTCCCGGATTCAAGCAATTCTCCTGCCTCAGCCTCCCAAGTAGCTGGGATTACAGGATGTGCCACCATGCCCAGCTAATTTTTTTGTATTTTTAGTAGAGACGAGGTTTCACCATATTGGCCAGACTGGTCTCGAACTCCTGACCTTGTTTGTGATCCACCCACCTCGACCTCCCAAAGTGCTGGGATTACAGGCATGAGCCACCGCACCAGGCCTCAATTTTCAAGTAAACAATACTGTACTATCACTAGTAGCCATGCTGCAATTAGATCCCCAGAATTTATTCATCTTATAACTGAAAGTTTTTACCCTTTAATCAACATCTTCTCATTTATCCCTGTCCTCAGCCCCTGGCATATTCACTATTCTTCTGTTTCTATGAATTCAATGTCTTTAGATTCCACATGTGTGATTATGCAGTATTTGTCTTTCTGTGCCTGGCTTATTTCATTTCGCATATTGTCCTCTAGGTTCATTCATGTTGTCGCAAATGACACAATTCCCTTCTTTCCTAAGGCTGAGTACTATTCCGCTGTATATTACAGACCACATTTTTTATTCCATTCATCTGTCAATGGACACTGAGATGGTTCCAGAAACGTGGCTATTATGAAGAGTGCTACAGTGAACATGGGAGTGCAGGTGTCTCTTTGACAAACTGATTTCCTTTCCTTTCATCCCTTGCTTTCAACATAGGTAGTGATTGCCACCCTACCTCAGAAATGGGCATTTCTTAAAATGATATGATATGAAAGTGTTTGGAAAGGTTTTTCTCAAAGCCACTCTAGGCTTTTCCAAGGTAGTGAGTTATCTCAGTAGATTGTTTACAGTCAGTTACAGATTGAACTTCTTGATCTGCTCTTTCCTGCTTCTCTCTACTGCACTTGACTAGTCTTAAAAATATGTATATATACAATAGCAAAGACTCGGAACCAACCCGAATGCCCATCAGTGATAGACTGGATAAAGAAAATGTGGCACATATACACCATGGAGTACTATGCAGCCATAAAAACCAATGAGTTCATGTCCTTTGCAGGGACATGGATGAAGCTGGAAACCACCATTCTCAGCAAACTAACACAGGAACAGAAAACCAAACACTGCATGTTCTCACTCATAAGTGGTAGTTGAACAATTAGAACACATGGAGACAGGGAGGGAAACATCATACACTGGGGCCTGTCAAGGGGTGGGGCAAAGGGAAGGGAGAGCATTCGGACAAATACCTAACGCATGCGGGGCTTAAAACCTAGATGACGGGTTGACAGGTGCAGCAAACCACCATGGCACATGTATATCTATGTCACAAACCTGCACACTCTGCACATGTATCCCAGAACTTAAAGTAAAAAAAAAAAGTATATATATTTTAAAACTCTAAACTTTAAGACAGTATTATTGTTAACTTCATTTATTGGTGAACAAAGGCAAAGAAAGGTTAAAATAATTTGGAATAACGAGAAAATAAAACAGAAGGAAGCAGTTTATCACCCCATTGGCAGACTTCTTTCCCTTACCCTCCTCCCTCCTCTCCTTCCCACTTGCTTATTCATTGTCTTAACCCAAACATTGCACAAAACCTATGCATTGCTTTGTTCTCTTGGATTGAGACAGTTCACCTGGTCTCAGATACCAAATACCTGTGACTGCATGGCTGTGGGCACCAGCTCTCAGCCCTGCTGCTCCCGGAGACGACATATTTCTCCACTTTCTAACAGCTAAGATGAGGTTGTCTCTTGCAGATCCCAACTGTCGTGGGAGAGAGTCGTGCTCTGTGCCCTGTGGAAAGTGCCACCCGCAGCTGTTTCCAAGGGGTGAGTGCCTTGCAAATGTCCCTGGAGTTGGGGACAGACATGGGGCATTGGGATAGTTTGCTGACTGATTTACATTACAGACCTATTATTACTCCAAACAGCATCTCAGATAACTGAATTTAGGAGGTAGTCTTGCCTCCAGCTTTTCCTATGATAAACTTCTTCAGCAGAGCTGACAGAATTGGAGTCAGAAAAGAAAATGAAAACATCAAGTCATGCCTAAAAACACATCTTAGGGTGCTACTGTTTTTCAGGTGTTGAGCCCAGCAATCAAAGAAGAGAAATTCCTGTCTTGGGTCCAATCTGAGCCTCCCATCCTCCTGTGGCTCCCGACCTGCCACCGGTTATCAGCTGCTGAAAGAGTCACTCACCCTGCTCGGTGTACCATCTGCAGGACTTTCCCAATCGCGGGACTCAGGTACAGCCATCAGCAGCATTTCTCGGATTATCATTCTCCATACGGTTCTGCAGTTGGAGCTGCATCCCTGCAGATTCTTTTTGGGGTCCTCCTTACACATCTGAAATTCACATGCCTTTTTTGGCTCAATGATTTCCTGGCAGGAAGCATCCTGGTTGATAATAAATTGTCTTTTATCTTCTATAATGGATGAAATATTAAATTCTTCCACTGATGCATAATGTGACTAATAGACATTTTTCTTCCTCTAAGGGGAACACATTTTGTCTTTGTTTTGTTTTGTTTTAGAGACAGGGTCTCTGTCATGCAGGCTGGAGTGCACGGGCACTATCATAGCTCACTGCAGCTTCAAACTCCTAAGCCCAAGTAATCCTTGCAGCTCAGCCTCCTGGGTAGCTGGGAGTACAGGCACATGCCACCATGCCCAGCTAATTTTCTATTTTTTGTAGAGATGGGATCTTATTGTGTTACCCATGCTGGTCTCCGACTCCTGATCTTAAGTGATCCTCCTGCCTCAGCCTCCCAAAGCATTGGGTTTCAAGTGTGAGCCACTGCACCTGGCCTGTCTTTTGTTCCAAAGAAACCTTTTAAGTATTGAGCCATCCATCGTCATCATCATCCTAACAACACTACTTTTGTTAACTGTTAGACAAATGACAAGCTGAGCAGTTCACATGGGCCATTTCATTTAAAATGTGTTGTAAGCCAATACAAAGGGTTGTATTATTATCCCCAATTTGCAGAGAAGTTAAATAACCTACATGATTAGCAAGCTACAGAGGCTGGCAGCCTAAATCCAGAGTCCCTGCTTTGCAGTCATGATGCTCTGCTGCCTCCCTGTGCAGACAACTGCAAATGAGCCTCATGCTCACACAGATGATCAGCATTCATGAGAGCAGCTCAGGCCTGATCTTCTCTCCACCTGGAGCTAAAAGCAGATTAGAAAGCTAGATTTGGAGCTGGATGCAAATATTTCCATAGCTTTGAGGAGAACAGTCAAAACCCCATCCTAGAGAAAGAGTGTTATAGGTCTCCCATAAATAAAACCATAGGGAAGTTAAACTGGTTATCATTAAAGCTTGGGAGAAGAGAAAGAAACCACCAGGTGTAGGCCAGGCATGGAAGATGCCATTATTCACAATGAGTGAACAGGGGCTGGGAATGTGGGAAGACTAGAGCTCTGGGACATCAGGCAGCTAAATACAAGGCAAAACTGAGGGTGCCCGGAAGGAGAAGGGGACAAGAGGCCTCAGGCCTCAGCTCCTGCTCACTTTGTTCCTCTTCCTTTCCCATGCTTCTTGACCCTAGCTAACCCAGAACTGAAATATGCTCCCCATGGAGATAAACTAGGTCTGCTTGGTACACCAAAAAACTGGAGATCTGGTTTTAATTTTGCTGAGAAAATGAATTGGGTTTGCAGAGAATTTGCAGGACACAGTAAAACTTCATTCATGAAAATTCTGCAAGAAACTGAACTTTAGACAATAAAACATATAAATGAACAGGACTGTTGGAAACCAAGCAAGCAGGAACAAGGAAATCTTCATACTACAATGAAAAATAAATTATTTATATTGGACAATGGGGAAATCCGAATATGATTTACCATGTTATGAATATATTATAATCATTTAACCAATAAGCAAGTATTAGTTAAGGAGTTTCTGCCAGTCCTGCCCTAGGTCAAGTACAAGATTAACTTTGCAATTATATAAAACACAACTTTTACATCGATATATTTTTCAAAATTATTATATGTAACATAAAGCAGATACTATTTGTATTCTATAGATGATAAAATTTGAGTCTCAAAGAATTTGAGTGACTTACTTAAGTCGCCCCTAAAACTGGCAAAGGCAGAGGCCAAGATGTACCTCAAATATCTATTGAGAATGAGAACAGAATTTCTTTAAAATGCCTCCATGTAAACCATCTTTCCTCTTATACACCCAAGGCAATAAACAAATGTCCTATATACAAAAAGCTGGGAGACCTGGGCAAGGTATTTAACCTCTATGGACCTCAGTTTTGGGTTTTTTGTTTTTTGTTTTGTTTTGTTTTTAGTAAAATTCAGCAGGGTAGAACAAATTATGTCTGAGACTTCTTTAGCTCTAAACTTCTGATTCTATTAAAAATTGGCTGGATATATTATAATCTTAGCTTTAAACTTGTGTTTTGGGATCTCAAAAAACTCAACTAGTAGCTTTGGTTTTTTGGGAGATGAAGAAAGTCATGTTAGAGGAGAAGCACTTGCAGATGTGCAGGTAGCAGAAAGAGGACAAAGATTTGGCCTTCTAAAGAAAAAGAAGGTGCAAAGACCATAGAGTGGCCCTCATCCAAGATTTAAATTCCAGAAGGACATGTGACATTTTTGCTCTGTGATAGCCATGGAAGGTTGAAATGAAATTGGGGGAAAACCTGGGTTCTATATTGGTAAAAACATCAATAATGGGCCAATCTCATTACCCCGACAATAACCATTCTCATACACCTGTAGGTAGTTGCAGAGCACAGAGGAACAAATTTAAGGATAGATCAGCTTATTATCCTAGATAAGCCAGTCATAGCCATCTAGTTAATGCTTGATAAAGCAGCCAGCATGGATGGCTCATCAAATAATCCTTATAACAATAGTTTATTATGTTGTACACTTCATTGAAAAAGTGAATGTCTTCCCATTAATGTATGTTAAACAACTTTTAAAGTTTTCTAAAAATTTTGCAAGTCCAGGAGGATAGGGTTTGCTAGCTCCATTTTTCCTTAGTTGAAGAAACTAAGTCATTTATCCAACTTCATTCAACTAACGTTCATTGAAAAACCTACCATGTACCAGGCATTCTCCTAAACTTAAGGGAACTTAAGTTTCCAATTCAACTATTAGAACTGCTATAAGTAGTAATGATGGTATGTGAATTCAAACTTACGGCTCCTGCCTTGAGGAGTGGTGGTCTATTCTAGAATAGTGTGGTCTATTCTAGCGGTTAAAATGGCAGGCCATCAATTCAGATAGTAACCTGGGACTCAAAATCTTCTACTACTTACTAAGTAGTTGTGTAACTTTGTGCAAGTTACTTAAACTCTCTTTAATTCCGTTTCCTCATCTGCAAAATGAGAGTAATTGTGAGAATACCTGAAAGAATTTCCATGGGAATTAACTGGGTCAACACATGTACACTGCCTGCACATAGAACGCGCACAAAAATGCTAGCTGCTATTATATCATCCCACACTATTTATTAATATCCTGCCATGGGACTCAGGGTTGGAAGTACAGCAGTGAACACAGGTAGCTGAGGGGTGATCTCAAGGTATTTACATTCTCTTGCTCTGCCTCTAAACGACTTTGATCAGACCATCAAACCTTCTGCCATCTGGCCTCAGAAGCTTTCCAAGGTTTTTTCTGCTGTTATTCAGGGCAATTAGCAGGTCTGATAGCTTCAATGCCCTCTAAACCCTTCTTACTCATCCCAGTCTTCATTGCCTTATTCCTCCTCTTCTTTCTACTTGGGATTTCCTTTGCTTTAATCTCCAGCCTAGCCTTCCATGTACAGCATGAGTCTCACTTTCCAGACCACACCAGCCCACAGGGCTCTCCCTCTGCCTCCCTGCTATAGCCCTCTTCTCCATGCCTCTCATTGGGCACTTAATCACACATTGCCTAATTCTGGAAGTTTCAACCTTCCATGTGAAAGTTTTGCCACAAGATATGAAATTTAAGAGCACTGGAATCTTGTCATATTTCTTTTTTGTAACTTTTAAGATAGGGGTTGAAAACCCAGATGCTTCAAAGGCAAGGCAAGTGGTGTACATGAAGGAAATAGGACAGGTAGGGACTATGGCTAGCTCAGAACTGTATGTCCAGTCTAAAAGGAGTGGCTGTCACCTGGTTCTCACCAACTGTCACCATACGAGGACAGAGCTTTATACCACACACACTGCAGTTAGAGAAGAGAATTTACATATCAGGGGAAAAATGTATAGCTTCCTGTTACTTTATAGACAAACAACATGGTCCCACTCAAATATCCTTAAAAGTTACTAACTGATGATTGCTAGGTCTCACTAGCTCCCCACTAACACCACAATAGTTTCCTGAGTATTATGGGACACCCCTCCTAACCAGAGTGTGTCAAAACTCTCTCCTCTCCTTCTGACCACAAAGGCATTTAAGGTTGTCGTTTCTCATCAAGAAAAAATCTCCAATGTTGATGGGTCCAGAAACTTGGGTGTGGTGAGGAATTCCCCTCCTCCACTTATATCTTTCCTATAGACAGACTCCTATAAAATGATAAGTGCTTATTTTAAAATCTGTTATCTATGGCTTAATTTTCCCCAACACCATGCAGGAATACAGGCCCAATATTATCATATCCTGCAAAAGTTTAAGGAAAGCCAAAATTTGATTTTATTGAAATCTATTTTTTAAACTTAGCTATTAAGTTCAAAGTATTTGAGTGCATTGTGCAGCTGCACAAACCATGGCTGCAGATTTAAGGGTTTATCCTAAAGGTTGTAGTGCACAGCACCCTGCATGTAGAAGGCACTTCGTATTTTGAGAAATAAATCAGACCTCTATACCATAGCGTATGCGGCATTAATATAATGCCATTTGAAAATACTTTAAAATGAAGATTTATTTGAGTAAATAAATGCATTAGAGTCATTTAATAATCCTATAGTTTGGGAGAAACTTTACACTGATCTGGTAGTTCAGACATCTTCTGTATATTTTGGGGTGCTCATTCTCCACCTGGATTTTTTTTTTCTCATCTACCAGTGATGTAAGCTGTGTTTCTATTTTAATTGGCAGATACCGCTGTCTGAAGTGTCTCAACTTCGACATCTGCCAGATGTGTTTCTTATCTGGTCTTCACAGCAAGTCCCATCAGAAGTCTCATCCTGTCATTGAGCACTGTGTTCAGGTAACATTTAATGTCACATACCAAACCATTAATCAATTCAGTATAAGCTATAGCTGTGAAAAAATCTTTCCCTCCAGTGAAACCACAGATTCTGCTCCTGTCATACATTACAATATTTAAGACTAAGCAAGTGGCAAACTCCACCTTGAATATCTCTCAATATAAGTATGCTTTCTTCACATTGTACATCTCAATGCAAGTTTTTGGGCACAAGAAAAGTCCAGAATTCAGTCTGAAGTAATTGATCAGATACTCTGGACTAGAAAATGTCAGTGAAGAGTTAGAGGGAGAAGCACTGGAAATGAGTACAGATGGAAAAGAGATGGGCTCTGATGTGGCAAAAATGATGCAGCAAGACTTCTAGTTACTAACATATTTTTGGAGAATTTTTCTTTTTTAACGTGTCTTTTCCTGAACCCTAAATTTCAAATATTTCTTTAGGAAAAAAGAAAGATTATTATCTCATTGTTGACTGAAAAAGTATAGAGCTAAAACTTCACAGCTGCCTTTCAAATTTTCTAAAATTATAAATACCTAGCAAGTGAATTCAGTTCTGGGTAAGAAGAGAAATAGCATAGTACATTTTAAGCAAAAAGCATTCTATTTTTTCCCAGAAAGAACATTTTCTTTTCATTACTAAATTCCAATGAGTAAGTTTCTTCACACAGATGGCAACCCCCTCAAATACCACAATAGCGAAGGATGTTGATTAATTAACTTTGCCAAGGATAGTTTTCCCTCCTTCTCTCCTTTACATGAATGGCCCACAAAGGTCAAGTGCCTGAATCTTGTCAAATAATTTCCAGTGAGCGTTTCCTTACCCAGGTCCTCAGGTTCACTGGCCTAGGATCTATCTTCCTAGTGCTAAAAGTCTTGGATTTGTTGATGTTAGAGTGACACCATGTGGCCACTTTGTTATTATGCTTTAAGTTTCAAGTGCTGAAACCCTTAAAAATGAGACATCTCATCCCTTCTTTGCTTCCTTTTGGTAGAGGTTCTTAACTTGGGGTGAATAAATGGATTTCGGGTGGCCTGTGAGTCCACTGAAATTGTAGACAGAATGGAATGTGTGAATATTTCACTGGAGATAAACCCACGAGTTATTATCCAATTCTCAAAGGCATCCACAACCCTAAATGTGAGCAACCGCAGACTTAGTCCTCTTTGATGCCCTCCTCTAGGTGTAGAATGCCAAATGGCGGGGTTACTCTAAGGAAGAGGACTTATTGAGGGGGTTGGGGTATGTAATTTGGAGACTTATGCTATTTCTATGAGAATGTGAAGAAATTCAGGGACAAGAAGGAGGTAAGATTATTTTTCTGAGGACTTAAGAGAAATAATTCCAAAAACTTTCAAGGTGGCCAGTCCACCCAAGTAAGGAAAGAAGACCATGCATAGACTGATGTGACACTTTTTAAAAATGCTGGCTCTTTCAGCAGATGTCAGCGATGCAGAATACAAAACTTCTCTTCAGGACCCTCAGAAACAACCTTCTTCAGGGGCGCTGTAGGAAGAAAGAAGCGGCGAGAAGGCAGCGGCTGCTGGACCAGGTGAATCCAAAGGGTGTGCCTCACCATGCACAGGCCAGGTGAGTGGCTGCGAGGATCGGCCGGTCCCGCAGAGCAGCCGACCAGGGCCATGGATGTTGTGGTAACCAGTCAGCAATCTGTCTAATGCTGAAGGTCCTAGACAAGGCAGGAGGCAGGGTGAGGGATGGACTTCAGATATTTTTTTCCTCTAAAAAGGGCCTTTAATTTCAAAGTAGAACTAAGAGGCTATCTATTATTCCTATGTCACATTTACCTATCAGGTTGTTATCAATATATGATTAAAGTTAGAGAATTTGGATATCATCTTGATGTATATCTTTAATATTGTATATATAATTTAAATTTGAAAATAAAAGCAAAGATATCGGGTTGCAGTTTATCTTTATTCTTAAAGCCAGCTATTTTCACCTTTCACTAGGAAAGTAATGATAAAATGTTAATCATCTGGATATATTGGATACTTGAGATCTTGCCTAAATTTCTATATTCCCATAGTCACATCACAAAGATCCATACTCTTTTTTTTTTCTTTTCTTTCTTTTTTTTCTTTTTTTTTTTTTTTTGAGATGGAGTCTAGCTGCAATGCTCAGGCTGGAGTGCGATGGCACCATCTCGGCTCACTGCAACCTCTCCCTCCCGGGTTCAAGTGATTCTCCTACCTCAGCCTCCTGAGCAGCTGTGATTACAGGTGCACGCCACCACACCCAACTAATTTTTGTATTTTTAGTAGAGACGGGGTTTCACCATATTGGCCCGGCTGGTCTTGATCTCTTGACCTCAAGTGATCTGCCCATCTTGGCCTCCCAAAGTGCTAGGATTACAGGTGTGAGCCACTGTGCTCAGTCTCCATACTCTTATTTGCATTTCTTTTGGCTACTGAAGCCAGACTGATCTTTTACACATTTTTTTTTTTTGAGACGGAGTCTCGCTCTGTCTCCCAGGCTGGAGTGCAGTGGCCAGATCTCAGCTCACTGCAAGCTCCGCCTCCCGGGTTTACGCCATTCCCCTGCCTCAGCCTCCCAAGTAGCTGGGACTACAGGCGCCCGCCACCTCGCCTGCCTAGTTTTTTTGTATTTTTTAGTAGAGATGGGGTCTTTTACACATTTTTGACAAACACGACAGCACGTCTCACCCACTCATCCCCTCCAAACCCTCATGCCTTCCTTAAATCAGATTCCTCCATCATTTCCCCATTGTTTTTAGGCTGAAAATGAAAAGTTGTAACGTGACTTAGTCTTGGTCCTTTTGGTCCACCATGCTAATCTCTCCAGCTTCATTCCTCCTCCACAGTCTCTGTGTTCCAGCCCTGATTCTACCCCACATATGACTAAGCCAGATCTATCCCACCCTTAAGACTTACACCTTTATTTTAAAGGATTTGTCATAGTTTGTAACTACACATTTATTTATCTAACTATCTGATTACTGTCTGCCTTCTCATTTTGCTAAAAGCTCCATCAAGGAACCTGATTTCACTCCCTCTCGCATCTCCACCACCTGGCTCATAAAGTCACGCAAACCATTCAATCCATCAGCAAATCTTGTTGGTTGTACCTTCAAAATAGATTTGAACTCTGAGTGAGTCTTGCTATTTCCACTGCCACCACCTCAGTGGTCCCTTTCTCCCGCATTGTCACATGACCTCCTAACTGGTTCCCCTGCTTCCTCCTCGGTCTCCCCATGGTCTACTCCTAGTGCCATAGGCAGGATGACACTTTTCAAATTTTGACCAAGTCATGTCACTCCTCTGCACAAACTTTTTTGTGGCTTTCCCTCTTCCAAGAAAGCCACAGTCCTTCCAGTGGCCTTTAGCCTGGCCCTATAAACCCTGTTCCCCACCAGCTCGTGGTCCTCCTCTGCACCTCTCCCTGACTTGTTCTGCTTCAACCTCACAGCTCTCCTTGCTGCTCCATGAATACACCAGGCATGCTGCCACCTCAGGGGATTGGCACCCCTAAATCACCTCCCTGTATGGCTTGGCTGCTCACCTCCCAAAGACCTACCGAGGTCTTTGCTCAAATGCAGGCTCATCCTGCAGGCCTTTCCTGACAACCATTTACCATTCAATCCCTGTCCTCACTCTGGCACTCCCAGTTATCCTTGCTGGCTTTATTTTTCTTCAGAGCACTTCATCACCCTCTGACATCCTCTATCTTACTTATTTATTATTTATTGCTGTGCCCTTCTCTATAATGTAAGCTCTATGAGGGGAGGAATGTCCACTGTTTCCAGTTGTATTGCCGGAATCTATAATGTCTGAATATGATAAATGCGCAATAAATATTTGTTGAATAACAGACCGACTGAATGAATAATAAAATGTATGGTGCATGATGGAGGGATTGATGGATGGATAGATAAGGTGAACCATGAGCTCTTTTAGAATGTAGTGGGAAAGAGTCAAGGAGTGTTGGAACAAGGTAATAAAGTTTGACTGAATCTGGAACAGAGACAGAAGCCTTGCCCTCAACTAACCATATGTGTGGCCATGAGGAAGTCACTTCACTTTTCTATGGCTCAGTTTCTTTGCCTGTTAACTGGGATAACCTCTCCTCTCTACTCCCAGAGTAGTATTTCCAGAGGTGAGATGAGGAAAGGGAATTGCAAGGGCTGTACAAAGCCAAGGTTCTCTAAATGTCAGTGTGTTGTACTCTGTCCACCCCAAGTACAATAGAGTTGTTCCCCAAAATAACATTCTTATGTAATAATTTTCAGTGTACCCTAGACTTTGATGAGTTCAGAAATTCTGATTTGTGGCTGATCTAGGAGAAAAGAATGTGGAATATTACTAAATCACAATGTAATAATAGTAAAAAACACATCTTTGATATCTATTATGTTGGCACACTAGCACTGACCATCTTCTAAGAGATTAATGGTTATTGCCAAATGATAATATTGAATTCATTCAATGATTCAGCAAATAATCTGCATGGTAATAAGCCTTCTCCCTTTTGATGTAGTTTTATTTACTTTACATATGCTAGTTTGCACGAGAATACTTTCATTTACAAAACCAGAATTAAAAGTTAGATGCCAAATATCATCAGTCTTATTAAATATTTCAGGAAGTTCTTGAAAATATAGTTAAAAAGAAAATTAAAATGCTGAAAAATAACAGAAGTACTTCTCTTTGTAGCTAATTTAATTGTGAATTACCAAGAAACCCCAAGTAACTCTAGCAAAAATTACTAGAATTAAGAGACTTCAAATGATGGCAGAAAAATAAAATAAATATATACAAAATTCTTCACTGTACTAGCAATAACCAGCTAGAAATTTTATAAAAATCTCATTCAAAATACATGTAAAAATTATATTTAAAAGAAACTACAAAAAGTGTAACAAAAAAGATACAAGACCCAAATAAAAGTATAATATTTTATTGAGTACAGAAAACAAGTCCTGACCAAAAGGAAAAAATACCAAATTCCTAAATGAGAAGACTAGCATAAGAATGTACCTGCTCCAAAAATTAATAGTTGATTTTCGTTATTTGCTTCAATACTTACAAATTTGCCTATTTGCAAAAATTTATTTGTAACCCTAAAATTAACACTCATGGTGCTTTTGCAGTATTTGCAGACATGAGCAGAGTGGCAAAAAATTTTTGAGTTGCCTGATGCACATGTTCCCAGCTGAGGTCAAACCGGATAGTGCTCTGTGTCACTGTTTCAGCCCTCATACTATAAGCAAGTGTCCTTTTTGTGTCTATTTTGTGTCATGATTTTTGCGTATCTGTGCTTTTTGTTGGCAATTTTACTTTTGCAAATGGCCCCAAAGTATGGTACTAAATTGCTGTCTAGTATTCCTAAGTACAGCAAGACTGCGATGTGCCTTGATGAAAAAAATACACGTGTTACATAAGCTCATTCAGGTATGATTTATATTGCTGCTGACCATGAATTTAATGCTAATGAATCAACAATATGTATTTTAAAAGTGTCTTTATACAGAAACACATAAAACAAGGTTGTGCATTGATTGGTTGACAAAAATATTGTGGCCAGAGGCTTGTAGGAACCTAACTCTATATTTCCTCTAGGAGCAATGGGTTCAGTATTTCCTAATTCAGTGTTCATGGTGGCCTTATAAAGTGTAACTACTGTGAATAATGAGAATCTACTGTATTTAAATTAAATGCATTTCCAGATAGAATCACAATGTTTTCTAAATAGGATAAAATAATTTTGAAGGTATGTTGGAAGAATAGTTGTACAAGAATAGTAAAATTATGAGACTGAAGAATAGTGAGAAGGGATGTTAATATCTGAAGAACAGATGTTAATACAACAGATATTAACACTTACTACAAAACTACTTTGACCAAATAATATAGTATAAAACGGGACTGAACATGTAGGTCTAAGGATGAGAATACAAAATATAATAACTGATGTAAACATATATGGGAACCTAATATGTGATAAAGGTGATATTTCAATTCATGGAAAAATAATGCATAATTGGCTATCCATCTGAAAGGAAAATTGGCCCTTATTTTGCCCCATATACTTAAATAAATTCCAAATTGATTGAAATTTAAATGTAAAAGGAATTTAAAATAAATATTAGAGAAAAACAGAACATCTCCTAAGGAAGAGAGAAAAACAAAAAATTATGAAGGAATAAACAGATGTATATGATAGCATGCAATTTTAAACATTTTGCTATGGTAAATGATACTATAAACAAAATTAAAAATAAGCCCTAGACTTAGAAAAATATTTTCGGTAATAAGACAAATGATGCTATAAAAAGGGTCCCTGAAAATTGATAAGAAAAACTTGATGTGAGGCCAGAAGTGTTGGCTGCTGTGGAGAATTCAAAACAGGGACCTCCCTGGCCATTAAGATGGAAGAGCAAATAGTTTCTCATCCTGGAGAAATACTCTCCAGGGTGGTGGTCATATCTTGTAAGGATTCAGTCCCATGTTGAGTAATGTCTTTGACAACGGAAGGAATTGCAATCCCCCAGCTCAGTGCCAAAAGTGTGGGGTGTGTTTGAAGCTTTTTATAATTCCATTAAACCTATCCAG